AACATTTTGGGGCAGAAGGGACATCCACAAGGAGTTGGAAAGAGGGCATGGGATTAGATATAACAGAAATACATTCGATACGTGTCTCAAAATCTCAAAAAACAAATAAAACAATTTCTTTTACAAAAATGGAAAAAGAAAAAAATTTAGACTGAGATTTGGTCAGATATGTAAACTTTCAGCCCCTGACCTTGATAATCCCTCAATTCAGGCTTCTTCTCAGAGGCTTAAATACTTCCAAGGATACCACAGGAGAGAAAACATGAAGACACAAATACAGTTAGTTAGCTCAGAAAAGCCAAATTCCTAATAAATGTGGGCAACAAGAATGAAAGTACTCTTTTTTACTAAAGGGTTAAGTGAGACAAAGAAAGTTTCATCTTCAAAGAAATTTGTAAAAACACCACCTGGTAGAACTTTCTCCCAGTCAGAATTTTCCTAAGATTAAAGCTTGTGCTCAAGGCTGAGTTTTGCTCTCAAAAGCAGCATTTTGCTTATCAGCTGAGCAGTTTTGAATTGGCCAACTGCCTAAGAATGTGAGGCTCAGCCCTGACCACTCAGAATGAGGCAACAGAATCCTTTGTGTTAAAAATAAAAACCCAGCAGGATGCCCCCCCCCCACCATGTGCTTGCTTGCTGGACCCTTCTGCAGAAGTAAAACTTTTTGCCTTGCCAAAATACTTTAGACTGTTTGACCATTTTCTTTAGATTTGAGACCCATTTCTAACATAGACCTAGATGACTAACAGACTTCTACACAAGGGTGTGGGAGCTGAAGCACGCAGCACCTTTCCACTGGTCTCAAGTCTTGGAAAGCAATCCAACCTCTCGACTCCCTGTAAAATGTTTAGTCTAAAAATATCAACAGCATTTACCCGGCTTCATTCATACACCTCACTGAAAATTCCACAGAAGCTTATTCAATAACACAAGGTACCACAGTCTGTAATGTGCATATTTAATACAATTATACACTTAAACTAATAATGGAGGCACCACTAGGGCTGAAACAAACTAGAGCAGACCTGTTAGCTCTTGACATTCATCTCGTTTGCCCTTATCGCTAGGTGATAAAATCCTATCACTGGAGATACCACATACCTTGGTTGCAAGATACAGTGGAATGGAGATAGAGTGGAATGAGCTAGAAGCTTCCTCCCTGCTGACTAGCTTTTATAATTCAGAAAAGACTATGCAGGTTGCTGGGAAAAAAAAAAAAAATGCATCAGTGATTTTCAATGCCAGCCTGCCAGGCAATATGTGCCCATCTGAGCAGTAGTGGCGTGACTGTTGTGGAGGTAAGCAACCACTCTGCTTAGATTCAAAACTGCACCACAAGAAGAAAGTGATGTCTGGTAATTAAGCCAGGTTAAAATCCCATGGCTGGGGAGGGCATAGGCCCTGGAGGGTAACTTAGTACTGTTGTTCAGCTCAGCTGTCACAGCACCAAATTGCCTTCCAAACATCTACATTTATACCCAGTCAAATACCACTTTCAGTACTGATCAGAGAAGCCTCTCTTTACAATGAACAGCAGTAAACACAGAGGCCCTTAGCTGCACATGGTGCTGAGAATAAACAATGGTTGAGTACTCAGCCCTAAGCAGGCCGCCTAACACCTACCCTCTCTAGGCTCAGGGATACTGTGGAAGAAGGGACAGAAGGAACATAAAATCCAGACGACAGGCAGAAGGGCAATGAAGTACAGTTTTTAAAGCATGACACAGCCGTTGCATGAATTCACTGAAGCTGTGGCTATCGCTCATATGGCCTAATTGCTCCCTGCCTCTCCCAGGAATTATTCTAAGTACTAGAAATTCACACTTGACATCCTTAAGCACCCACTCATATATCACATGTATGCAAAACATGACCCCACCTGTTTGGCAACATACAGCTACACATTTTCTCTAAGATTAGTAACCAAAAAAAGTTAAAATTACAACAGATAATATAGTGCTAACCAGAGGAAGGAAGGGAGAAAGGGAGAAAGAGAAAAAGAAGGAAGGAAGGAAGGAAGGAAGGAAGGAAGGAAGGAAGGAAGGAAACAGAGCTGGTGGAGTGAAGCATACTTGTAAGATCACACTCAGGAGGCTGAGTATAAGGATCAAAGTTCAAGGGGCAGCTTGGCCTACAGGAGATCCTGTGTCCAAAAAAAAAAAAAAAAAAAAAAAAAGTTCAGTGGAGTGAGTTTGCTGAGCATTCATGGGAACCTAAATTCAGTTCCCAGCCACACAAATGCAATCCCAGCACAGGAAGTTCAATGGCAGCCTGGGTTACACAGCAGGACCCAGTCACCAAAGGAGGAAAAATATCAGCAGCTAGTAAATATAAACTACAATTTGAAAGTGGTAGTCAAGATATAGCTAATGCTAAAATAAGTTGAAATGGTTCCTTCTGGAAAGACATGTTAGAAATACTTTGAAAGCTCAAAATTCCTAAAACCTTCCTTGACTTGGTGGAAAACATACACATATCCAAATGCATGTACACATAAACTCATATTATTATATTATGGAAATCTTACGAAGGTTGCTTCAATTTTCTGTTTGATAAATTTATAAGCCATTTTATTTTATCCATGTCATTTTCTATATTTCCCAGTTTTTCTAGAGGAGTGCAAACTACTTTAATAATTTTCAAAAGAGAAGTCACATGAAGGAAAATACAGAAGAGAATAAGAATGTTTTTCTTCTTTTTTTAAAATTTATTTGATGTTTCAAATGCATACGTATTTAATACATCACACATCCATTTGATAGCTTTACCCACATCTTGTCAATCTATGTCTACTTCATTCTATTGCTAAAACAACTCCCAACAACTTTAAGCTATTTTACTTCCATGCTTTATTATGGGGGAGGAAGAGGTAACCTTGTTTGTTGTGGGGAGGCACATGCACGTGTGTGGCATCAGAGATGAACATTGGGAGTCTTCTTAGATCACTGTCTACCATATTTTTTGAGACAGAGTCTCTCACTGAACCTGTACCTCACCAAATGGGTGTCCAGCGATGTCCCAGGGTCCTCCTGGCTCTGCCTTCCAGCACTGGGGTTGCTGTTGTGCGCTGCTATGCCCAGCTTTCTACATGGGGGCTGGGGATCCAAACCCAGACCCTCATGTTTGTATGGCAAACACTGTATTATGGGAAGAGGACTGAGACTGGGTGTAGTCCAGGAGTGACCAGAACTCACTGCATAGCCAAAGATGGCTTTGAACTCCTGTCCTCTTGCCTCCACCTCCTTAAGTGCTGGTATTACAAGCATGGGCCAGCTCACCTAACCTACATTTCAATGTGCACACTGATCTTAATATGGAGCTGATGCAGGTATCAAACTTGCCTTGCCTCAGACTTGCAAGAGGTGGAATTACTGAAATGCAGGCGAGAGAGACACCTCTGGTTTGATGACAGACTGGGCATATACAGTTAGTTCCTGGCCCATCAGGGCTACACTGACCCTATCTCAAAAAAGCAAATAAAACAAAAACTTGTCATTGTGGTACATGTCTATAACTCCAACATTGGGGAGGCAGAGGCAGGAGGATCACCACAAGTTTGAGGCCAGGCTGGACAACACAGCAAGTTCTAGGCCAGCCAGGGCTTCTAAGTGACAGCCTGTCTCTGAAGGAAAAAAAGAAAGGTAAAGAAAAAATGGGAGGGAAAGGAAAAGAGTAGAGGGGAGGGGAAAGGAAGGGAAGGGAGGAAGGGGGAGGGGAGGAGGGGGAAGACAAAAAAGGAAACGAGAAGAAAAGGAAAAGATGGGGGGAAGGAAAGAGGGGAGGGAAAGAAGAGGGAGACAAAAGGAAACCAGAGAATAAAGGAGAGAAAAGGAGAAACTTCAAAAGGAGGGGGCAAGGGTAAGGAAGCGGGGAGTCAAAGAGCCAATGAACCTGAATGAGAGGAAAATAGTATCATAGTACAGCTTTAAAGCACAGGATATTATGTGCACACCCAACAGAATAGCTGAGATTTGATCAAAGGGAAGAGTGAAAGCTCACAAACACTGCTGGTGGAAAGAACCAGCTTCTGCAAGTTGTCCTCTGAGCACCTTATCTGCATCGTGCCCCACCCTCCACACAAAAGAGTGGCAAACACTTGTAATCCCAGCATTCTGGATGCTGAGACAGGAGGATCACAATTCTGAAGGTGGTCTGGTTTACAGACCATGTCTCAAAAAGTAACATACAATAGGGTTGGAGATGTGGCTCAGTTGGTAGACTGTGTGCCTAGCAGCACACCTGAGTTCATTCTCCAGCACCAAATAAACAGGGTGTGGTGCATGCTGTACTTCCAGCACTTGGGAGGTGAAGGATCAGAAGTTCAAGGTCACCCTCAGCTACACAGCAAGTCTGAGGCCAGCCTGGACTACAAATTACAAATGACTCTGGCTCACAAAAAACAGAAAAGGGAGCTATGGAGATGACACAGGGCGAAGAGAGCAGACTGCCCTTTAGAGTTTGGTTCCCAGCACCCACATCAGGTAGCTCACCACTTGTAGCTTCAGGAGATCCAATGTCTCCGGCCTCCACAGCACCTACACTCACATGCACAGACACAGACACACACACACAGACACACACACACACACACACACACAGACACAGACACAGACACAGACATACACATACATACACACACACACACAGACACACACACACACACACACACACACACACACACACACACACACACATACACAAAATGTAAAATAAATGTAAAAGAAACAGAGAAAAGGAGAAGGGAGAAGGAAGGAAAAGAGGAAGGAAAGGGAGAGATAGGGGAGGGGAAGGGAGAAAGGGGGAGGGGAAGGGGGAAAGAGAAAGGAAAGGAAGCAGAGGAGAAGAGGAAGAGAAGAACACTCTTCGTATTTCCTCTTGTACTTGGAAAAAATAATGGATTTGGATTTACTCAACAAGAGTATTCCTCAGCTATCTAAAAAGTCAACAAAAGCAGTTATCAGCACACGATGCTGACAAAACACAACATAATATGAACCTACCTCATCGTAGATGCTCCCATTAATATCTGCTCCATAAATAGGTGCCACAAAAGTTAAGTTTTTCCAGTATTTACGCTCCAAATCTTCATAATCCAAGTACCTTGGAGTACAGTATCTGTAAAAAATTTTAAAGTAAAATACTATAAACCAGTAAGGCAATTGTTAAATTTTCCCACCCATCTAATTTACTTTCTAAACCAAAATATTGCAGACACTGGTGGTGTCAAACATAACAGATAAACATTTATCATATTTAAAACTATACAATCACTTTATATTGTCTATCAGATAGGGATTTTTAGAAAATATCAATAGAGGCAGAAAATTAGTTTAAAAGTAATTATTTTAGCTTACAAATGATTTCTAAAATCTTTAACAATTATACAAGATTTATACAAATATACAGATTTATATAAAAAAACATCACTTGCATGGAAATTTTGAGAAAAAACAACCTCTAAAAAATCCAAGTAGGGAGGGGCTGGAGAGATGGCTCAGCAGTTAGGAGCACTGACTGCTGTTACAGAGGACCAGGGTTCAGTTCCCAGCACCCACATGGCAGCTACGAACCATCCTTAACTCCAGTTCCAGGAGAATCTAAAGCCCTCTTCTGACCTTCACGGCACTGCACGACACGGGTGCACTCACATATATGCAGGCAATACACTCATACAAAAAATTAAAATAATAAATAAAATATAAAAAAAAATCCAAAGTAGCAAAGTTAGATACGTGAACTACTGGATGGGCAATACCTGCTACACTGGTGACGGGGAAATGAAACCACTTACACAGTTGACCTGGAGGAGAAAACTGCCAGAGCCTTTCCAGAGTATAAATTCTTAGGACATATCAAAAGTCAAAAGGTATGTACAAAAAAGAAAAAAAAGTCAAAAGGTATGCATACCCGAGACCCTAAAATCTAACTCTAAAATTCACCTGAACAACACAGAGAGGCACATAATGGCAGACAGGAAATGTGCTGCAGTACTAACTGAAACACCATAGATTTATGCTACTTTTCCTGTAGCTGTGATAAAATATCCTGGCAAAAACAACTTAAGGAAGGAAGGGTTCATATGGGCAATAAAGTCATGGCGGCAGGAGCCTAAGGCGTTGGTGACATCCATTGGCACTCAGGAAGCAGACATAGATGAATGCTTTTCAACCCATCTCCCCTGTTCACCTAGTCCAGGACCCTACCCATGCAATGGAGCTGCTCACAATTAAGGCAGGTTTTCCCATCTCAATTAATCTCATCTAGAGAACCCCTCACAGGCCCCTAGAGAACCCAGGGGCTTATCTCCTAGGTGATCCTAGATCCTGTCAATCTGATATGGAAAATTAACTGTCAGAATGGAATAGCCAGAGATAAATGATTGGTTTTATAATAACACAGAGCATAGCAGGGCATGGTGGTGCACGCCTTTAATCCCAGCACTCAGGAGGCAGAGGCAGGCAGATCTCTGTGAGTTCAAGGCCAGCCTGGTCTACATAGTGAGTTCCAGAACAGCTGGGGCTACAGGGAGACCCTGTCTCAAAAAGACAAAAAAAAAAAAAAAAAAAAAAAAAAAAAAAAAAAAAACCCACAGAGCATAAAGTAAGTTAGATCTATGTAACAATATCAAAATCTTTCCACACAGAATAAATCAGTTTATAAATTACTATGTATGCTGAGATGTTATTGATTTAAAAAAAATAAAAGTAAAGAAAAAAATCCTGGAGCTACAAATATAGCTCAGTTCATAGCAGGAGGTGCTGTGATTTGACACAAACCCAAGAATTGTCTAAACAGGGCATGGGAGTGCATGCCTATTACCCCAGCATGTGGACAGTGGAGAAGGAAGATCAGAAGTTCAAGGTCCTTCTCAGCTACGTAAGGAGTTCAGGGACAGCCTGAGTTAGATAGAAACCCTTTTTTTTAAAAAAAAAAAAAAAAAAAAAAAAAAAAGAAAGAAAGACAAGAGAAGAGAAAAGAAAAGGTATGCTAAATTATTAATATTAACAGTCATCTTGCTGAGCATGATGGTGTATGCTTATAATTTCAGATTTCAAGAGGCAGGTAGAGTAGGATAAGGAGTTCAAGGATGTGTACTACTCTTGCAGAAGACCTGAGTGTGGTTCCCAGCACTCATACAAGAAGGTTCACCATCACCTGTATGTAACTCCAATTCCAGGGAATCCAAAAAAAAAAACTCTGGCCTCCACAGGTACCTACTGTGGAGTGAATTTGCTTAAATTTAACTAGTCTTGGACCTGGAGATGGCTCAGCAGTTAAAAAACCTTGGACTCCCTGTGTAATCAGCTTCTGCAAGCTAAATGCAACAACTCTAATCTTAAACTATGTCCCCTATTCCTGCCCCATGACCCCTCCTTGCCTCAATCTGGAAGAGTGTGTGTGTGTGTGTGTGTGTGTGTGTGTGTGTGTGTGCGCGTGTGTGTGTGTGCATGCATGCATGCGTGTGTGCATGCGTGTGTGTGTGTGTGTGTGTGTGTGTGTGTGTTGTGGTAATAGTGCTGAAAGCAGGAACATTGGAAGCTTTGAATTATCCTAATATATGTTGCCAACAACATGTGGACACAGGTTGATAAGGATTGGTTTAGTATGCTGTTCTGGGTCAGCAGAGGGTGGAAAAAAGCAAACTCCATCCCTTATAAAACTCGAGTTAAAGATTCTTTAAGGGGAAAGATGAAATAATTGAAATAATGAAATTTTCAGGTAAATAGATGGAACTGGAAACTGTTATACTAAGTGAAGTAACACAGACTCAGAAAAACAAAAGACGTATGTTCTCCCTAGCCCCAAAGCCTTCTAAATGAGTACGTATCTTGATATAACTGCAGGAACCAGGAAAATGTAAGGAAACCAGTGACTGATAAAGGGAAAGAAGGAACCCGAGAGAGAATAGCAGGAGACAGGTGTTATTAAGGGAGAAATGTATAAAAGGGGGTAGTTAAATGGGAGGGGGAGAGGGAGGACTATACAAAGAACTATGAGAATGAAGGGGAAGAAGGCGCTCAAGAGAGGTGGGACCATAGCAGACAGGAATTAAGGGAGAAATGGAGAAATGGGGACCCTTTAAATGGGGATGGCAGGGAGGGAGGATAAGACAGGGAGAGAGAGGGGAGATAAATAATGCCTAACTAGTATAAAAAGCCAGAAGGAATCATATTAGTCCAAAAACCTACTGAAAAATTACACATACAATATCCCTACATGAGTCCACGAGTATAGCTGAAGGCTACATACCAAGAAACAGTGCTAGACAAGAGAAACCTTCCTTTGAGTTGTTGGCCAGGGTGGTCCAAGAGACTCCAAAAATTACACAGGCTTTTGCCACAATCAGTAATGACCTCCCAGAAGTTGAAGGTAAAACCTTCCTGCTGAAGATAACATATTTCAAACAAAGGATTTGGATAAATGGAGCTGGAACTGACCTGGAAGCCACCTCCTCTGAAGGCTAGCCCTCATAGCTTTGGAAAACACTGTGCAAGCTGCTAAGGAAGAACATCAATCGAAAATAGTCTAATCCCAGCTTCAACAAAAATGGTGCAGTAGGGGCACTTTTATCTTGGGGGAAATCAACACCTACCTAACTGGACTTAAAGCCCGCTCAATGGGAGGAAACACAGGTCACTGTAAACCTAGCCAAATACACAGAGCTGGAGAGGCCATAGAGCTTAGAGAAAATTCCAAGGCCGTCACATCCCTAACAAATGTAATTTCATACAAGAGTGTGCAAAATATGGAGGCTTAAATTTACAGAGTATGGGTCCTTGGACAGATCTCCTATATTGAAATCTACCCACCCTGGGCTCAGGGACCATTTCAGAAGAGGGGGCTGAAAAATTGTAAGATCCAGGGAGGAGGTGCATGACCATATGGAAATAGAGGCCACCAAGCTCTTGGGATTCTTTTCATACAAACCTCCAGCAATGGTGTCAGCATGCACAAGACCCATGCAAACTCAAGCAGACAAAAACCCAGCAAAGAACTGTGGAAATGGACAGAAGGCCCCAATCTTAGTTGAAGAATTACTGGCAGCTGATTACTGCTGCATGAGAAAGAACTGATCTTAAAGGGAGGAACTCTAGGTAGGTGACTAGACCTCAGTGGATGAACCTGTACTGAGGGACAACAGGGAACACTAATTTGACAGGATAGGCTGTAACACAAATGACAGAATGTATGAATTCCACTGGGGGGAGTTATGGGAGGGGGTCAGTGGGGAAGGGGGTATAAAGATGACTAAGGTGTTCTGTATGAAATATACCAAAATTCAATTAAAAATATTTTTTAAAGAGTTCATATGCCATTTCTATTGTTACTATCACAATTCTGTCCAGTCTACAGATGTTTTAAGCTATTTTGTTACTAACAGTACAAACATTAAAGGAAGAAATTTCTAATGCATGTTTGAGATACAGAAAATATTTTGAGGGGCTAGAGTGATGGCTCAGTGGTTAAGAGCACTGAATGCTTTTGCAGAGGACCCAGATTTGATTCCCAGCACCCATATGGCAGCTAACAACCATCCATAACTCCAGTTCCAGGGGATCTGATGCCCTCACTATGACTACTAATAATCAGATGCATACAGATTAGAGATGCATGCGCCAACATCTCAGTGTTAGTAGCAAAAACAATGAGTCTTTCTTCAAGGAACAATATATTTTAAAATGAAATGGAGATTTTTTTAAAGGTTAAAAACTCATTCAATTTTATTTTAAAGGTTAAAAACTCATTCAATTATATTGTATAACTGTATTAATTCAACTGTGAACCTAGAAACTTATAGCCACTTGTGAAAGAGATGTACTCTTGCTCTGGAGTGTGTTACTGAATATGTTAAAGGTGTAATGAAATGCTTCTTCTAATTGTGTAGTTACTAAAAATTTACTTCATATTAAATAGTAGAGGTGATAAACATTACCAGTGAAATCTACCTGATGACTTTATATCCATACTCAGGTATAAGGATCTGAGTGCAACCGACTGTGGCTAGTAATAATCAGCTACATAGAGATTAAAGACACATGTGCAAACATCTAAGTGT